TTGCGAACACAACGCAACGACCTCGCGTCGCCTCCTGGACCCCTGGACCCCAACTTTAAAACGGGAACCCTTCTGCTACGCATTCGGGAAAAAAAATATCTATCATCCCGAAGTAACACTTGGAAAAGCCTCTGTAGCGACAGGGTTTCGGGTTTAGGGCTTAGGGTTTGGGGACCTTCCCCCAGAAGAGAGATTATACTTTAGCGACACACCCTTCAACCCATCTTTGGGGGGTACAAAGGTGACGCGGCTTGTCAGAGCAAAGAAATGTTCGGGCCACTTTCTGGGTGTCCCTGGACTGAGGATTCTAGTGCACTTGTTATATAGGGGAACCCTCACGTTCGGAAAGTACCATAGCCGTGCATGTAGCCATGGGTTCAACAATCCCCCATGCTTAAACCATGGGGGACGTTGGAAATTGCACTATTCATTTTCCGGGTCCACTAAAACGGCTTACACGGGAGTTGCATGTACGGAGTAGCCATCAGACCCCCCCCCCAACCCCCCATTCCCGTGTTCTCATGCCTTGGAGCGCTCATAACCCTCATGATCCCTCATGCTCACCCTCAATGGCCAGGGAAAGGAGCGGGCCCACTTCAAACAAGCTACCAGTTTTAATAGGGCTTAGGGTTTAGGGCTTGGGGTGGGTAGATCCTATTACAACCCATAAGCCCTACAAACCCTAAACCTACGGAAGTCCAGTTTTCCCATGTAGGATCATGTAGGCCTTACGTGAGGGTAGCCACTTGGGAGACCAAACAGCGAAGCAGCGTAGCGCTGGGCTTTCTTTTTTTGCTCGTGCGATCTCATGCGGCGCTTCACGCGCGGATCCCCAAGGCAGCGCCGCCTTTCCCCACCTCGGTCACGGAAAGTGCCGAACTGTAACATCACCAGTATGGGCTGACTACTGCGCGTTCTCAAAAATCTGAGACGTAGGCCACTGGTAGAAACACGTAGGTGTCCTCAGCTCGTAAGCCTCAGGCTCAGGGAATGCGACCACTCCTAAATGCCCCCTTGTGCGTCCTAAACCCTGAGACCTACCACAGACTACCGCAGAGTACCAGGGAGCAACGAAACCCACTGCAACACTGGAGGAACTGGCATCCGAGACCCGTGCACAGGAGTTGCAAGGTAATCCACCTTCTCCACGAACTTGACGATCTTGTGCACGCAGCCTTTCGGATCCTTCTTGTCCGGAACCAGCTGCAGGAAGTTGTGCAGCACGCTCTTGCCGAACTTCGCCCCAGTCACCTTATCCAACAGGAGGTCAAAGGCATCGGGCGTCCTGAGAGCCACTTCCTCCCACAGTATTGGCTTCTCTGCTCCAGAAGCGGTCTTCACGACGATTTGCTTCTCCTGGTTCAACAAGGGGATCTCGGCTGCCTCGTAAAGAGAAGGGAGGTCTCGCATCCACCGCTGAATGGCATAGGTACCCTGAAGCTGGCGGGTAAAGTCCATCCACGTCCAGATCTTGCCTTTGCCCTGCACGGACTCCCCAACGTCGGGTATGGGCAAGCTTATCGTCACGGGCTTCAACAGGTTGGGCTGCGCCTTCAGCTTTTCGACGGCTTCCGGCGTGGCATCGGACACTGACAGCAGTGTGTGCTCTGCTGTGCACTTGAAAGAGCCAACCTTGATCTCGCCCAGGATGTGCTGCGCCGGGTCCAGGAGGTAGTCGGGCGAGAGGCCGCATGCGAAGAACGAGTGCTCTGAGTACTTCGTGAGGCACTGCACGATGACTCTGGAAACACTGCCTGCAGGCAGGGGATTCACAGCGAGCTTGGACACGCGCATCTTCCTGGAGGCCTCGCCGTTTTTCTTGGTGACGCTGCCTCGGAAGACGGACTTAATGATCCCGAAGTTCAGCGAGGTGTCCCCGGCAAGCTTGAACACGACCACCTGGCGCACATCCTCTTTCTCGGGCACGTAGTGCGTGATTGCGCTGATGAGCTTGCCGTCGGTCTTCGGGCACTTCACCGCCTCTTCGATCTTCGACTGCACCACACGCCACGCTGCTGCCCGGGTTTGGCGGGCGCCGTTGGACAAGCTGGCTTGACGAGCAAGGGCGAGCTCGTGCTCCATCTTGTGCGAGCCCGAGCTCTGGTACTTGGTCTCGCCAGTGAGCATGGCGGCCGAGAGGATGTTCTCCCGCAGGCGCGTCCTTCTCACGTACTCCAGGAGCGTGGGCTTCAGCTGCTGCTGCTTTTTCAAGCAAGCTTCCTTGGAGCTGTCGGGAGCGGCAAATGCGTCGGTGTCGGCGCACATTTTCAAGATGCTCAGGAAGGTCCGGTCGCTCGCCTTCTCCAAGCTCACTTGCACAGGCTCCTCGCTTGTCTGGCCCTCCTCTCCATTGACGATGGCATGCGCCAGCTTTTCAATCTCAGCCTTGGCTTTGATCTGATCCTCCACGTTCTGCAGCACTGCGAGGTTTTTGTCGTCCGACACGGCGGCGGCTTCGTCCGGCTGCTCTTCCTTGTCCAGGTCCTCTTCCTCCTCGAGGTCGTCGTTTTCCATCGTGGCCGCGTTCATGCTCACGGCGGCCACGCCCTCGGAAGCCCACCACATCTTGAACTCCTCCTCGAGCTCGTCGCACTTCAGCCCAGGCTCGACCCAAGTCACAAAACGCAAGCAGTGCTCCCAGGTCGTTTTGGCCATGCTCGCCGCACGGGAGGGGGCAAGTCTTCCTGCGCTGTCGTCCAGCGCGGGATCCACCTGCAACACTTGGCTCGCTTGGCGCGTGTGATCCCTTTGGATGCCGGTGATGCCGTTGCCGATGCAGGGTTGCCCACGGAAGCCGGCCTTTGCCCGCGAGAAAAAGTGCTCGCACACTTTTTCCGCGAAGCATCGCCCCAGCAACGGCAGCTCAGTGTCCTCCGGCTGTTGGAGGGTCAGGGCCATCCCCAGGGCGCAGACGATGCACATGTTCCGGGTCGTCTGGATGGGAAGCCACTTCTCGGCAAAGTCTTCTGCGAAGTTTTTCCTTGCAAGAAACCAGAACAGCAGGAGGAGGTAGTAGCCGGCACACGTGTCCTGGACCCAGAAGTCAGATTACCCTAAGCCCTCATCCCTAAATCCTGCGAAATAACCCTATACCATCCTGTACCCTAAACATCCCTAAGCCCTACAAGCTAAACCGTACACATCCTTACACCATACACCCTAAACCCATTCAAACCCTTACAGTCCCGCTTAAGTAGAGAGATGTACATCGAACAGGAACCACACGGGGGTCTTATACTATAATATGCTTGAGAAATCCCAAACCCTTCCAAACTCTGGTGTCCTGAAATCTCTCGCAGGGGGTCAGCTTGGAGGACGCCTCCCATCCGGCACTGGCCAGCGCCCCAAGAAGCATGAAGACACAAACTCCCCACGTCCCATTGCGGTCCGGCACGTACTGAGGGCTCATCCTCAGCAGAGCTTCCCGGTCGACCGTCGGTGCCTATGAACGCTTTCACAGGGATCTTTCCGATCAGCAGATGCGAAGGGTGCATGGCACTGCGCCCGTAATGCACCACCCTTGTTCCAGAGAAGTGATGGCAGGCATAGCGCTTGAGCGTGTGAAGCGCATCCAGGCTTCCCAGTATCCGCCGCGTCTTCTTCCAGACCAGGTGCTGGAAAGGAAAGAAAGGCATCTTCGGCATGGCCTCGTAGGCGCAATCGCAGAAGAACTCAGCTTTGCCCAGGTCGACTGTCGGTAGCACACCGAGGGTCGCTTTCAGGACCATGCTGTTCGAGGTCCCTCCGTCCACCGCCAGTCCTGCGCATGGCACTCGTTTGCAGCGACCACAGCATTCATGGCTTGGCCAGTCAGTTGTAGGATCTGCAGGGCCTTGCCGGACTCCTGGTGGGGTTGAGGAACCATGCTTACGCAAAACGAGGCTTGCAGAGAGTCTGTTCGAGATAGCAGGAAGTGCAGCGTCAGATGGCTCTGTTTCTTTTCCGGCAGCTCTGCCGTTGAGGCAAGTCGTCGCCTGCCTTGAACTGCCCTCCAACGATTGAAGAAGTGTTAGCGTCCACCAGGCCAGACACCAAGGAGAACGTGGGCCGCCAGCATGTCTCGTCCAGAGACAAGAAATGCGCTCGACTGTTCGTGGCCCGGAGCAATTCCAAAGAAACCCTGGCATTGTCGGTCAGAAGCTTCAGGTCACGGTGGGCCATGTAGAAGCGGGGGAGTGTGTCGCAGACGTAGTCCACACTGCTGCGGCCTTTCAAATTCACCCCAAATGCCCGCATGAGGGTTTTGGTCTTGCTCTCGAATCCAAAGGTAAACGCGACCTCTTGGAGAGTCTCGCTGTCCAGATGTTGGGAGGATGTGAGGCGGTCGTGGTGGCCGCGATCCATGCGATCCTTCATATCGAAAAAGGAATGCATCAGGCAGCTCACCAGCTTGCTGCTGGCGAGCTGGCCTGCTGCCACGCGCGACGCCAGGACCAAGTCCTTCTTCTCAACCTTGCCGGCGCGAAGCGACTCCACGAACTGCGTGCTCAGTGCCCTGTAGGCCTGTCGCTCGTTCTCGTCCTTGTTGTCAAAGGTTAGCTGGACCACACACTCACGGATCCACAGGTCCAGCCGCTCCGTACGCGTGGCCTTGTTGATGCTGTCCATCTTGCGCTTGATGAGGATGAGGCGGGCTTCCTCCTGCTCGACCGCCAGGACGTCGTCCACCTCCTTGCGCAGGGGCGTGAACTGGTAGAAGTCACTCGAAAGCAGGGCTGCCTGACTCTCCTCTTGCTCCGCCTGCGTGCCATGCGCCAGCGATCTGGCATGCTGCACCAAGGACAGCCTCATGCCCCAACGCGCAACCTGCCCATGGAGCTGCTTGCTTTCGGCCAGCTTTGCACACAAAGCGCAGGCACTGGCCTCCAGAAACGTGCCAGTGCACTCTCGGTGTTTCAGCACCAGCTTGTCGTTCACATAGCTCAGGCTGCAGAGATGCAGAAGCTCCGGTGACTGGTTGTTCTTGGCATTGCAGTTCAACATGCCAGAGCCTAGCCACGCCACACAGGAATCATGCACGGCATCCATGGAAGAGTGGCCACATCCAATGAGGACGCCCGGGCACGCAGCTGCGGTGGCCGTCACAACGACGCTCTCTTGCCCGGCCAGCGCCAGCCTGTGCTTTCTTGTTCCCTCGTGCAGGAAGACCTTCTCCTGTCCGGACAGAGACAGGCGGTGGAAGTTGGACTCCTGCTTACACAAGTGGCAGTAGAACAAGGCTCCCCGCAGTTGCTTGTAGATGCCTGGACGTGTACTCTCAAGCCAGTTTGCAAGGGTCTGCCGGCTGCTGCCTGGGAGGCCGCCCCCTCCCGAAGGACGCCGCTTCCACTATGGCCCCCGGTTCTCGGCCTCGTCTTGAAGAGGCGCAGGTGGCGGGGGACTGGTGTCTGCAGATGAAGGGATCATCGCCAGCGAATCCTGTCCCAGGATCCGCAGCCTCAGCGCTCGGCAAGCATGGGACTTCATGTGGGCTACATTCTTCCCCAGGCTGGTCAGGAACTCTTGCCAATGGTTGGCCGGGAGGGCTGCCAGCTCTATGTGCACGCGCTGGAAGCCCTTGTTGTAGTCGATGTCCTTGCTTCGACACAGCTCAAGGCCCTGCTCTCGCCAAAGCTGGCATTTCTGGGCCTCGGTGAGCCTCCGTCGCTTCGGAGCGGGCTGCTTCGCCACAGCAGCTTCTTCGTTCTCTGCAGCAGCCGGCCCAGGCTTCTTGGCCCGCTTGGGGGCAGGCTCTTTCACAAGAGGAGCATCTTCATCAGATTCCGCACCTTGGGCGGCCTCTGCCTTGGCCCGACTCGGCTTCGGTGCGCTGGGCTCTGAGAAGCGGTCATCCTCCTGCTCGTCCTTCGGCAAGCGCTGCTCCGGTTCTGCCTTGGGCGTCGGTGCCGGATGTGAAGGCTGAGACTTGTTCGACAAGTCCGGCTGTCGGTCGCAGTCCGGCTCTGGGTCGCATAGCCTTCTCAGGGCACGGTCACGGCAGGCCCACACCGGTATGAATGGAGGCCAATCCGGGCACTGACACCGCTCGAAGAAAGCTTCTGCGTTGAGCAGCACACGGTGTCCGCAGCTCCAACTGTCTTGCTGAGGCAGGCAGGGCCCCTCCTTCAGGCTGAATGGTCCCGTTGGGTCAGGTGCTGCATGAAGGCCTCCATCTCGCGCTGCACGCCAGGCTCCTTCAGGCCGTCATACAGCAGAATGTCTTCCGGTCCCCGTTTCGCGAATGCCACTGCCCAGTGCTCGTTGGTGCACACCACCGCTACCAGCAGCGAGGCACTCTCCTGCAGCTGCCTCGGCGGAGTGTAGGGCCAAGGCTGCAGAAGCGAAGTCTCAATGGCTATGCACGTTTCCTTTCACTCTTCACCGTCATTGGCTCAAGCAGCAAGAGGACCTGTCCATATCCCTCACCGAACAAGCTGGGACCTTTCGTGACAAGCTTCCGCAGCAGGTCCTCAGCCCTGCCCTCGAGCTTCCGGACATCAGACGTCTGCGACAGCATGGTCGAGGATTTCAGGAAGATTTTGGGAGCACTGGAAGTCTCGCGCACGAACTTCTCCAGGTCGGGAGGCGCCATGTCTTGCTTCTCTTGCTCCGTCAGCTGGTCCCACAAGCAAGGTTTCTTAACCTCCCATTTGATGGAGTAATAGTAGAGGAAGCTGCACACACCGACCACCGCCTCGCTGACATACGAGCACTGCGCTTCCGCTGGCAGCAGGGCAAAGAGCGAGCGGACCAGCTCACCCGCACACGAGCGCCTCTCCCACGACTCCTTCTGCCCGTGCCTGGAAAACTTCCCAGGGCCTCTGCAAAGAATGCGGCAAGGCCTCGGCCGCACGGTATTACTGAATGGGACGGTATTACTCCATGGGACGGGAGGCCCGGCATTGCTGAACACAAAGCCCGTGACAGGCCCGGAAATTGCAGTTTTGGGGGGGTAGGGTGCTCTGAAACCTTGCGCCAGTGCAGCCTTCCTTATAGCCTAGCCCCCAAAAAGTGGGCCCGAGGTGTATGTGTTCAGTATTCACACAGGCTCTCCTAGGAATCCTCGGAATCCTAGGAGCATTGCTGAGCATCCCTGCAGGAAGCCCGGAAATTGCATGTTTTGGGCTGAAACGTTGTGCCAGCGCAGCCTTCCTTACACCCAACCCCCCGAAATGTGCCCCGAGGTGTACCCGTCTCTATGTCTTCGGTACTCACACAGGCTCTCCAGGAGCATTGCTGAGCATCCCTGCA